CAGATTTGGAGAGCAGTCTATTAATAAAGACACAAGCACAGTTTTTATCTTCACCAAGCTGACCTCCTGTTTTGGCTCTCAGTGTATCCACTCGTAATTTTTCTACATCACTGCTAGTAAAGTGCTAGCAGCAATTCTTCTATTTCTCCTGTCAACAAAGCTTTATTCAAGTTTGACCTTCTCTTTGTCAGACAAGCATCACTCATCTCTCATGATGTGCTAGCATTAATATTATCTTTCAAGCGTTATACAGTATATCTTCCTAGAATATGCTTCAGCAACACAACATTTTCTAGGCTTTCATACTGTAATATTATGTTCTGTAGTGATAATATTAGCTTCTGGGTACAGCCTTTATTATTTTAGCATGGCTTAATTTGTGTTATTGTTTTGGACAGACAATCTAATGTGCTGCTTCTATTTGATGCTGGTTTTCATCCTTTATTTCCCTTTCTTAGCAATACATACTAATTAGAATTGTCCAGCTCAGACTACAGACAACTTCTGACTATGAGTACTTTATGCATGCTATTTCCATGGAACAGTTCTATTGTCATCTAATTCCAGCAAATATTGTCTCTAAAGGGTTTGCTTCCAGGAATGATGTAATTATCAGTCAGTTTGACTTTCTTGCAACCGTTTTGCAGAATTAAAGATTAAAATGGTACTTTGAGAGAATAATTAACTTTAAATATTTTTTTCAATTTGGTATTATACAATTATCCACACTTACAGGAGTGGAAAATCAAGGTAGTATAATAGCATTTTAATCCTAGGCTTTTCTAACAGTTTAGATTTTTACAACTTTATTACAGTACTTGTGCTATGGTGACAGCATGGTGAACTAAATTTTTGCAGTCATTAAAGAAAGACAAGTGTGTTAGGATGATACTCTGCTGCTCAGAAAAATGCAAAAGTGAAATAATGACACAAGACTTGAAGAATGCTTATGACTGGGGGAGGGAAAAATGTCTTCTGAATGACTGATATAAATATTTCTGCTGACTGATAAGACTATTGGCCAATTGTGTTTCTGTTGGTATTATAAGCTACAAAAGCAAAGGTCTGTCTTCACTTCTATATGTGCTAGAATATCTTTCATGCTGGAAGAATTTGCCTTTCCAGCATACTTTGGAGATTTTTTTTTTTTCTAGGAAGTTTGGGTATAGAAAGTGGTTACCTTGTTTGATGATTTGTGTGTTGTGTGATAAGTTACAGGTGGCAACATTGCTATTACAAACAGGTAAATCAGACCACGTGTTAATTTGAAAACAGTTGATAACGCTGTAAAATTCCACTTTTATAAGATACATTAGTTTTCAGACTGAGTTTGAATAGTAATTATGCAGCATTAATAAACACTTGTTGGAAATTTTACTTAACCTTCTCAAAACTTTTAAACTGATATATGGACAAAACAGTAACTTGGGGGCTTATTTGAGGCAGCTGAAAGAATGCCAAATAAGCCTCCCTCACTCCTCCCACCTCCCATCTCAGAGCTAACTTACCTCAGTGGATACTTGTGAAGCATTTTTAATAGAAACCAGGATTTAGTGGGTATGTTGAATGTTATACAGCCCTTTAATATCTGGAACTTCTTATTAATGGAACATTAAAGACTAATTTTAACTAGTGAATACTTTAAATTTCATGTTTATGTCTGTTTATGGGAGGCTTGGGAAGTGGTAGTAAAGAAGGAAGACTAGAGATAAGTGATAAAGAATGGTACAGAGCTGTAGAGAACTTTCTCGCTGAGCAGGAGCATTTTAAAATATGGTTCGCTAAATATTCCTTAAGGTGGTCCTCTCCTTCCTAAGCATTTAGTTTTCTATCATTGAGTTAAGAATTCTGCATAGAAAAAGTGTTTATTTGGAGATATGTGATATGCTAGCTGATCATCATGCTTTTCTTGCTGTAATTAATGATACGCTAGCTTTTCTTTTTCTTTGTATTAATTATTATAATTATATAAATTTAAATGAACAACAGAAACCTTGTGCTACTACAGCATACTTAACTAAGTTACAAGTTTTTTCCTCTTTTTTTCCAGTTACCTAATGTTCTGTTAAATATAATTGTGTTTGAAACTATCAGAGAGCACAAAAAGAGGAGAGGGGTTTATGTCCTTTTGCCTTCAATATTTGACATTTGTAAACATAATTTTCAGTAGTAAGTAGCTAGATGACCATCCTACTCTTCATCATTCCAGTACCTAGTTTTATATGTTGTGTACTGAGCTGAAATAGCAACAATTATGGAGCAATATCACTGCATGGATTTTTCCTATAATCCTAGTAAAATACCCTCCAGTTACCTAAAATAGCATATGGTATCGAGGCATAACATGAAGGCTATACTGGTATTTTGTAATGTAGCTATTTTCACATTCAAAAAAAAAAAAAAAAAAAAAAAATCTAAGGAGAAAGAAACTAATGGAAACAAAATATGCAGTATCCTATAGAATTAACTCAATGAACCAGCATTTATACTGTTCTTAGTACATTCATAACTTTTTTAGGTTAGTTGTTTGCCATAGAATCAGTGGATGACAGCAATGAGTTATATGAAGATAAGCTCTTTTAAGTAAGTCATTGTTATTCAGTAGTATAATCTGAGCTGTCTAGCCTCATATCCTTGATTTGAAAATACATCCATTGGTCTCTTACATAATCACAGGTCATTTCTTATTTACATCAAGGAATGTTGCTGTCTATTCTGGTAGCCTAATGACTACCAAAGTGAATTGCTAGGTGACTCTGTACACTTCCTGACTCTCTTACACACAGAGAGCACTTCCACAGTTCAGATTATTTCAGTCATGGTGAATTCAGAAGAAGCAATAAACAATGAAGTTTTCAAATTAATTTTGTCTCTGAAGATGCAGTCATTTGTTACAAAAAAGAGATGCTCTCAAAATCTCATTTTGGGAAATTTGCGTCAGTTGTCTGCTTTATGCAATTTCTATTGAGAAAACAGGCCATTAGACTGGTGCATTTTTTTTGTTTGGTTGGTTTTTTAAGTAGCAACTGCAAAGAAACACAAGTTAAACCAAATACGTAATACTTTTTTTCCCTTTCTAATTTTTGATTGTTGCTCTCCTTCCTAAATTTAGGCAAAATTAGGTTCCAGTAAAGGAAGTGTAGTGAAATTAGATGAAGCTGGCTGAAACCCAAGAGAGGTAAAGAAAATTTCATATGTCCATCTCTCATGTTCTGAAATACAAAATTCCATTTAATGTGGAAGACAAGTCTCAACAATTTTGTATTTTTTAATATAACTTTCTAAACAACTGATTTAAGCTTATAATTCATCTGATTCTTTAGGCAGCTGGTAGCAAAGTACCTGCAAACTGTTTAAAAATTGCATTTCACATAAATAATACTGAGATTTATTATGCATCTTTAAATGGCAGTATTACAAATAGTTATGATTAGATATTCTAGAAAGAAGTTGTAGGTTGCATGAACAGACTATGGAGGAGCTTCTTACCTTACAAGTGATGTCCTGCCTAAAATTTCGTTCAGTCCCCAAATTTCTCTTCACCTTTTGGACTCTGCCTTTGTTACAAGTTTGAGAATTAATTTAGACTCAGTCTCTCCTACTTAAAGTTCTATTGGCATATCCTCTCTTGCCTTTCCTTTTGTTCACCTGTCCAGATGTTGCTCCAGCACTTTGGTTTTAACTACTCCTCTTATTTCCTTTAGCCCTCATAAAAGCATATCCCATTTTGTTCCCACAGCCAGCCCATCTTACAGTCATCTAGTTACTCCTGGCTCTGCTCTTACTCTGCTTATAAAAATGCTTTAATAATTTTGTAGTGGAAAAGTGGGATCATATGGTCATCCAAATCTTTATATACCTGTGAAGAAAGAGTAGCCAATCATATCTGATGTTGTCACACAAATATATTTCATAAATAAATAAAATGTAAAGACTAAACTCATTTTTATAAATCAACTCAGTCAAATGAGGGTAATTTGACAACTAAAATGCTGTAGCTTAATTTAGTCAAGAATTAATTTCTTAGGCAAAATAAAATTTCTAGTTTTTCTGAAGAGGGGCAGAGGGAAGTTTTGAAGTGAGAAAACATGCAACTTTACATTTCCCAACACATTTTTCATCTGTGTTTGAATGTAATATTTTCTTGTAAATAAACTGGTTTAAAAATGAAACATGGCACATTATTATGGTGTAAATTATCATTTTGTAATATATGTAATGTGGGATATCTTCAAGCATCTTAAAAATATCTGAACTATTTAAAGGTCCTGTAGAGTGTGAACCCCATTTGGGGAGGAAAAATGGAAAGATCAGTAAGGTGACAATTAAAACAATGCTGTTTCATGTATGCACTGTACTATAAATGTCAAAAAAAGAGATACACTTACTGGTGGAATAATATATTTCAACCAATTTTAAATGTACTTATATTTTAAAATTGACAAGACAATAAGGGTAGCTTTTCCTGTCAGCAAATATTTTGTCTGATAGTAAATGTGAATACATAATATCTTTGCATTGAGCAATTTATAATTATATATATATCATATCTTACACTTTCACAGTTTTAGATTTTATGTTGGGGAATGGCTGTGATAGCATAGAATAATTACAGTTCAGGAGATTTTTTTTTTAATGTGTGTATATCCTTAGTAGAAAAACTTTCATTTTCCTTGGAAGTAAAGCATTATTTTTTTGAACACTGCAACTATGGTAAATATATATTAATTAATATTTAAAAATATATTAAAAACAATAAAAGAAACATAAAAATCATGTGGAGATGAGATACAGTATATAAATTATATGGTATCCACACAGTCCTGCATAGATGGCATGGGTTCTTATCTACTGAAAACATCTTTTTGCTTGTTTAAAATGTAGTGACAGTGGTCTTACTGCAATGATACAGCCAAGCACAGGTGTTACTTGGATTCTGCTCTGCTTTAGGAGATTAAAACAGTGACAGTTTTTAATAGCATAAGATACTTTCTTACAGAATGTTTTGTCTAACCTATATTCTCCTTCTTCCCAATTCTCTTTCAGATAGCAGTTCTGTGGATGAAAAGGTTTTAAAATCATGTATTTACTATAGGGATCATGTATTTTGTTGATGTTTGTTTATGACTTATTTGACTTGTTTGGTTCCTTCATTTTAGTTGTGAAATTTGCATGTTTTTCCCAGCTTTCCCCTCTTTTGCTCTCCTTTGAGTGTGTTGCAAATGTGTTGCATTTATAGACCAGATAACCCTTACTGTTGTGCTTATCATAATTGCCAACACAGGGGTCTGCTACTGTCAAACATGATATCTGGGATTTTTGCCTCTAATTATCGTCTACACTTCATACAGTACAGGACTTAAAGGACAAAAATACTTGGGAAGCAATATCTTATCTTCCCATGGGTTCTTCCAGTGTGTTTCACTAAATGCTGAACGCTGCCAAAATGTACTACAAAGTAATAGTTACCGTAGCTTTGGCTTGGAGCTGACCCTGCTAAACATTTCCATATTTGGTGTTATATGTTTGATGCAGTTAAATTCCGTCCAAGTCTTACTAAGAACAATGGAGTAACTGTGCTTCTTTTGGTCTTTATTAAAGGCTCGGATAGTAAGTGGAAGTTCTTTGGATACTTCCAAGCTTTATGCAGACCAAGCATTTAGCGGGTAAGTACCAATGTGACTGAATCTTGTTGTTTATATCTGCAAATTAGTCTCATAAACTTATAGTATATTTTCTAAGTTTTCTGCTTATAAGAAAATGAATTATTTTAAAAGGAAGTCACTTTCATTGTGTATATCTTCCTTTAAGTCTTTAATTTTTAAGAAATTAATACAATTTAGTCGCACAGGTCAACTGGATGACAGTTTTTTACCTATTTGCATACAAAATATATGTACTTTGAAGCTATGGTTTGATTTTGTCTTCATTTTAGTAAGTGTGTAATAATAATATTAGGCTAATAGTTGAAATCAAAAAGGTCAAGGGAAAAAGGTGTTCCAGTTGCTGAGAATCAATGTGGCAGAAACCTGTACATTTTATTTGGTTGTCTCCAGTTGTCTTGCATCTGGAGCTATCTTACATCCAGTTCTAGGGTTTCTTTCCTTTGAGGAAAATCTCTCATTCCTGTTTTTAATACCTTTTAATTATTCGGTTTGGAAAGGAAAATAAGTAAAAGCCATCAGTAAAATTTATCAGTTACATTAGTTAACTATTTAAAAGGGTTATTGTCCTCTTGCTGGTGCTCTGTATAAGCACTATTTGCTGTAGTTATACTTTCTTACAAAGACAAGGTGATGAGATCAAATTACCTAATTTATATTCCATCTTCTCATTTACACATCTATACAATAGAATCTAGATGCTATGAAGTTTTTCCATTTAGATTCCTGTATTTTTGGTTTTGTTCCCTTAAAAGGTACTAATGCTATTAATTTCATAGAATCGTAGAATCATAGAATGGTTTGGGCTGGAAGGGACCTTAAAGCTCATCTAGTTCCAATCCCCCTGCCATCAGCAGGGACACCTTCCACTAGACCACGTTGCTCAAAGCCTCATCCAGCCTGGCCTTACACAATTCCAGGGAGGGGGCATCCACAACTTCCTTGGGCAACCTGTTCCAGTGTCTCACCACCCTCACAGTGAAGAATTTCTTCCTAATATCTAATCTAAACCTACCCTCTTCCAACTTAAAGCCATTTCCCCTTGTTCTGTCATTAACTGCCCTTACAAAAAGTCCCTCCCCAGCTTTCTTGTAGGCCCCCTTCAGGTATTGGAAGGCCGCTATAAGATCTCTCCAGAGCCTTCTCTTTTCCAGGCTGAACAGTCCCAACTCTCTCAGCCTGTCCTCATAGGAGAGGTGCTCCAGCCCTCGGATCATCCTCGTGGCCTCCTCTGGACTTGTTCTAACTGGTCCATGTCTCTCTTGTGTTGGGGGCTCCAGAACTGGATGCAGTATTCCAGGTGGGGCCTTACAAGAGCGGAGTAGAGGGGGAGATTTGCTTAATATTAATTTGCTTAATATAATTCACAGGCTGCTATAGAAGGTATAGTTAGGGTAATATTTGTACTTCTTGCTGAACCTTAAACAAATTAAAGAGCACTCTCCAGCTTTTCATTGGCTTGGGTAGTTTCTGTATAGTTTGTCATACCTTGAAGTGTTGTATTTCTTCCTTTTCCAGCTCATAGAAACTTCAGAGTTGCTGTAGAAGTGTGAGGCCATATGTGACATTGTGCAGGGTTAGTTGCTGAATGCAATGTGAAACGTTTTAAATATTGTAAGAGATAATTTATGTGGTTATTTAATTAACGTGCTCTTTGATATTAGAATAAAATTACCGTGTATTTCTCTTGGCTTGCAAACCATGCATTGCTTTCACATTGATCAGTTGCTATTTTCTCATAAGATTGAAAAGGCTGAAAATATCTCAGTACTAAAATGATAAAAACTTTTGCCTTTGGTGTTGGTCAGCACTATTTCTTATCATACCAAGATGACTATTGCTTCTTCGAATGGGATTTTCCAAGTTCTGTCTCTCTCTACGTTTTAAAAATAGAACAGAGTGCTGTGAACTTTCATTCCTGACTTCCAAAAGCAAAACATTAGTATGTGTTTGAATTATGTTTGTAAACATGAAATTAGCACATCTGAAGCACCTTTTTCTCATCATTATACTACTGATTTTAATATTTTTTCAACAATATATTTGTCACAAAAACATTTACTAAAATTTTCTATGCTCATGTTTACATTATTCTTCTAATGGAATCATGGAAGACTTTCATCAGATCCATTGCAACTGTGCTAGCAAATTATGACAATATACTTTTGATTTGATGTATGACAATTTATATTTGGTGGGGTTTTTGTTGAAAAATAAATGTATCTCAGAATCAGAAGGCATCACAGAGGTAACTTGATATTTACCTCAAATTCTCTTTGTCATATCTTCAAGTATCCTGTTCTTTCTATACCAGTAAGAAATACTATCTTCTTAATTTTGTTTTTCTTCTTCATTTTATTGAAGATGAGACACTTTAGAATTCATCCTGTCAGTATCTTTTAGAAGTACATGGAGGTCAGCTGGGTTTTTCATCATTTATATGCATTTAGGGTAGTACTGTTTTACTTTTTCTAGAGGCTTGCTCGATATCCATTCACTGCTTGCCTGATGGCAGTATGTCGGAGACTGATAATTTTACCACATAGCCTAATCCATTCTGAAATTTGCTAATGGTACACAGATGGTGCTGCTTGCAAATGATTACTCCTTTCCTTCAGTGGCATGTTCTAAATGGTAAAACAAATTTATTTTTCTTAGATTCTCTGACAGATCCAGATTATTGTTATGTAGAATATCTTCAGAAGCATACAAAAAATAGTCAACATTACAGGGTTTTTTTTGCCTTAGATGATAACTTGTGTGCCTTCAATTTCATCCCCTTCTATGTCAGGATGTTTTGGTTTATTATTGGTGGTGGGGAGGGGAGTAGAGAATTTAATGTATAACCTGTGTAACATGAATGGTTTTTCTATGGCTGTAGTGTTTAATGTTCCAAAGACTATACACAAAGACTAATATTTCACTGTCAATATAGCATTACCCAGTTTGTTAGCTCTGGTAATGTAGCTATTCTGCTGTTTTTCAACAGAAAAGTATATTAATCTTTACTTCTAGCTGATAGCAAGCAATCTTTCCATAGTTACAGTCCTCTTAAATGTTATTAGAAGGCTCAAATTTTTTCTTATACAGAGAATTTGTGCATAGAAGAATTTTTACTTCGTATACCCAAAGTCAGGGCTGTCTCAGTGAAGATGCATGAAAAAATACTATATATGCAGTTCTCCAAAAGTAAGATAGAAATGCGTGTTTTCAGCACACGTGTTAGTGGAACTGTATTTTCCACTGTATCTCTCAGTGGATTCTCCTGCTCTCCACTTAAAACTGAAATGTGTCTTCCCAGTCAGGTGTACATTTATTGTGTTATATGTCTGTGACATATGAGAGTTTGGTGGGTCAACCTTTCCATGTCTCTGCTGAAGGTTGTTCACCTTATTATGCGCCAATCCCCTTTTATGCTGGTACCTTTTAGTTTCATCTGTGTACTTCAAATGTTTTTTTGTTTTAATTAGTCCTGTAATTTCTTTCCTTTATATAGTGTTTCTAAATAAATATTTATTTTAGTGGAAAAAATAAGTAACAGTATTTTAAAATGTTTCAAAAATAATATAAAATGCTCTAACTGCTCTACTACCATGAGTAACATGAAAATAATTTGTCTGCAAAGCTAGTTCACAGCTACATAAATGACAGGATTTAAAAGAGAAATTAAGGCTTTGTTTTGGTGGTTTTTTTGTAAGATACAGTCTCAACATCTTCATTATGGTGTCAATGATGTTTCAGTGTTGCTTTTAATCTGTTTTATCTCTTTCTGCTCTGTGAGGTTTATATTCTTATTTTGACTAGATGGTATGTTCCTATGATAATGACAGCCATGGAGATGCATATTGTCCAAGTTAAACTAAGTGTAGCATATTACTACCTCTTCTAGTTCTTGGAAGATCTCCATCCTGTTGTTGCAAATTAATTTGTCTTGTAGAACTTTCTATCTCCAGCTTATAAATTCTCATAAGCTTTATGCAAGTTGTTTTTTTTCCATTCCTTTGTTGGTCTCTTTTCATTACTGTCACGTTGGTACTAAGGAAACAATTTATACAGACTTCAAGGACAGTAGAGGGAATTCAAAATGAGTCCTTGATATTGCGACAGTTCCGCAAAGGGAGCATTAATTTTGTGGAGGATGTTCAGATTTTTCTCTTCCTTGTAAATGTTGAGACCAGATTTTCCTTTGAGGCAATTTTTGCAGCACTGTGAATACTCAATCTTCATTGTTACTACTGATTTGCTCTGGTGTAAGGGTCAGGAATATTAGCAAATGTAGTTTTAATGCTGTTTTGCTGATGCTTGGTTTTTAATAACTTTTTTTTTTACTTTGGGCCTTGGGAAATTATAGTGTTTTGAGGACTTTGTGTGGTTTGGCTTGGGTTTTGGTTTGTTTGTTTGTTTGCTTCCCAGAATACTGAAAAAAAAAAAAAAAAGTAAAAGAAAAAGGTTAGAAGTTGAAATGGTGGCGCTTTGAAGGCCACATTGCCCAAGGCTAGCACAAAGTCATTTTAGGTGACTACCGTTAGCTCCCTGTAATGTGACAAGAAGCATGACAGGAAAAAAATCGAGGTCAGAACTTCTTTTCAAGTAACTTTATCTTTTCCAAAAGCTGAGATGGCCCCAGAGACCTGCGAACACAAATTGAGAATATCTGTTGCTCTGCTTTAGCTTGTACCTGGGGATGAAGCATTCAGAACAGATTTGTGATCAGAAGGCGGCAGGGCAAGGCTCAAAGCTGTAGTCACAAAGTCTGTTTTGCTGCATCAGCCAGAATCTGAGTATCTGTCAATGATGCATATTGTTACTGGAGACCAGTATGTATTCTTTGAAATCCTATTAGTGTGTTAGCCTTTTATTCTTTGAAGTGGCTCAAAGTTCTTTGCTGTTGTTTCCAAGTTGTATGTAAGATCTAATATGGATTTTAAATGTGTGATTAATGAAAAAGCTTAAACCAGGTAAGAGAAAATAATGATGGTCACCATGTAATTATCTTAAAATGTGACAAGTTCTGTCTCCGTATTCATATGGACTCATGAGAAGATGTGATTATGTATTTAGTTAGATATTTTATTCTTAGCATCAAATTTATGACAAGAATGATATCCTCTACAATGTTCCATCTCCACTGCCAGATATGCAAGTCCTTTTGATGGAAAGCTACTGTTATAACTTCTAAATCCAGGGTAAAAAGCTTTAGGAGGTAATAAGCAACCTTTCAGCTACTCTTTACTTTGGGTGAGTGCCAGGGGGAAAAGTCAGCCACACCAAGAACACTGTCATTAATTTTTTGTAAGAATTAGAACACTTAACTTTTTTAGCTGATAACTGATAATTTTAATTTTAACTGGATCCAAACTTGTAAGCCCTGGGTTTTTATTTCCTTCTTTGCCTTTTCATCTCCTACAGTGCTGGCCGTGGGCTGTATGGAATTGATAGCATGCCAGACCTGCGTAGAAAGAAATCTTTTCCCATTGTTCGAGATGTGGTAAGTAACTTCTGATGCCATGAAATTGGCAATTAATTTGTCAGTTGACTAGATCTTTCTTGTAATTACTATTGTGCATGTGAACAATAGTTTGTCCACAATTGTTTTATGGAAAAAAGGTATCTTGGGTGAATGGATTGAGGCCAGTAAAGGTCAATGATGCAGTTGTTTTAATGTACTAGATAAGTCTGAATATCTCATTGAATATTTAGATATTACTCATGGAATCAAGTAATGTGCATTTTGTGCAATAACAAACTACTAATTTTTGTGTTGAATTAGCTTTTGAAGACAGCTGTTATTGAGTGCTTGCTATACTGATTGACTTGATTTATTACGATACGAAAGAGGAAGCAAGTTCCTTTTAAAAACCAACCCTGTTTCAGTATGAATGTTTCAAAGATTTATACATACTTTTGGTACAAGATGAGGTATGTTATTTTAGCAGTCATTACAGACAATAATAATCCAGGCAAATAAATTTTAAAAAGGTGAAAAGAATGGCAGTTCCTTTAGGTTTATTCCATATTCCAGTCTGAACAAGATAAGGTAGAATCTCTTTGCTCTGAAGACTTTTAAGTGCCATTCACTTTTCTCTTTTTATTTTTCTGAAGTATAGCATTAATAATTCAGTAAAATACATATTTAGTCTCTGGTGGTGGTGAGCCCCCAAACCAATTTCTCATTGTAAAGAGATGATAGGGAGTCAGCCAAAGTAAATGATTACTGTAGTTGTCTTTAAAAGATCTATCTTTGCCATATTATTGCTCAATGTATTCTCAGCTACTCTGTTCAGTTACTCTAGGTGATATACTGTACAATCTGAATGGTCACAAAGGGAAAGCACAGCAACAATTTTAGAGTAGAATCCCTTCTGAAATCATGTAGAAGTTGCTATTTATGACATAGTACAGCCTGCATTCATTGAAACCATCTTCCTGACAGTACCTACTCCACTGTAAATTGTATTACCTGAGTATAATTTACACCCACATTATGATACTTTTATACTTCTTAAATAGCACTTTGCTTTGTTCTTAGTTGTTGGAACTGTTTACAGACAGGTATTGCTCAGAACAAGTTAAGACATCAGAATCTTAATATTAACTATTCACTTTGATAAACATGATTTATAAAGTAAAACAAAAAAGAAAATTTACATTTTGAATTGAGGAATAAAACTTTCATTTAATTATTCTAATATATCAATGATTATTATGTAATGATTACTACTTTACTGTCCAGTCATCTTGAAGGAATTCTGCCTTTAATAAGTCAAAGTTGCAGAGTTTTAAAATGAAATTTACTCTGGAATTTCGTAATTATGGACTTATATTATAGCTCTTAATTGTATGTTTAACTATACACTTGTTTAAAATAGTAAATTATATTACAAATTGGTTCTGCAGCTGTAAACCTAAAACAATTTTACCAGTTTAAGAGGAACTTATTTCAGAGTTAGTGTAGATCATCTTCACCTTTGAAAGATTATTTGTATTTGAACGTATGTGCATTTTAAGCAATCTCCTGTGAGCTCTGAGCTTATAATAGGTCGATTCCAAAATACCTCATTTAAATTAGTAACTTAATTCTCAAGTCCTTGTAAGATCTGATACATTGTAAATTATCTTTTTTCATGTCTACTTATATAACTGCTTCAGAAAAATAGAAATAATACTGCTAGAAATGAGTGATAGACTCTTTTGACACTGACTGAAACAGGTATCATTTTATATCTTTTTTTGTTGCAATGTCTGACAAATTATTAATATTCTTTAAATTTTTTTTCCTATCTCGGATGGATTTTCAAGGCTATGGTAAGTGCTTTTGTACTATTAAATGTTATAAATGTTCAAAATAACACTTAGGGATTTCTCAGATGTCATATTTTTATGCTGTCTTTTTATTAGAAAATAGAAAAACTATTTTATGGCAGATTGTTTAGGACCCAGTTGTGATACTTCCCCTGTGGAACTGAACAGCCTTAGATACCTAGACAAGGAGAAGTTCAAAGCATGCCATATTTTTAAATCTTTTTGTATCTATTAACTAAATTCTTTCATCTTTCCTGTAAAAGGTGCATTTCCCAAAGCAAATAAAGACTCTTAGGTGCTATGGTGTATTTTTTTCTGATAACTTAATAATAACTTGTGGAAATACTTTATTTTTCCACTAACTTTGGCACTTCTAAAGGTCCCTCTTTATTTTCCTAGTCCCACTGCATTTCCATTTTCTCTGTATGAGTTTTCATGCTTTCAGCATAGTATCTCAATATAAGGTTTATCAGAATGGTGTACACCATCTTAAGATATCTTTGACTTCCATTTTTTTCCATAAATTCACATTTTGAAAAATCCAGTTTTCAACAGCAGCTTTACTAGTTTTCTTTCTCCTAGATCTCTGAGAAGTTTTTTTCACTAATGCATTGAGACTCTCTACTTTCTCTGCTTGTCTTGGATTGAGTCATTTGAGAGGATAAGGCAGTCAAAATCCATGTACAAGAACAGTTCTCTGCTGCTGTCACGAGTTTCACTATAGGTCATTATTAGAGTTCTAGTAGAATATATCTGGTATAGGAGGGAAAGACAATGAAAGGAGAAATGATCATTCAATACAGAGAGGTGTTTGAATAACAATACAGAGAGCTTGAACAGTCCTCTGTTTAATGTGGAGCCAGAAAAAAGTGTCGAGTGCACTTGCTGATGTGTAATCACTGTAACTTCTGCTTTTAAACAAGCATGTCCTCTATGTTGTACTAGTTAGAGCTTTTATTTGAGGTGAGACTACAACCAGGGAAAGGAATAGCAATAATTATAGTGGAGGTTAGAAGTGCTTAACGCGATGACCAAATAAGTATGGTGATCTACCTAGTCATAGACAAAGGTAGATAGCTCTATTTTTCTGTCTCACTATGCTTTAGTCTCTAATTCTGTTAATGCAAGTCATCATTTCAAATGTTATGAAAACTCTAGAAAATTCCTGGTTTCATTTGATTTAAAGGTGTCTTTAATACTGTGCAATCACTGTGATTATGCAAATTTCTTCTTTTGATCCACCCCCAAGCAACAGAGTATAAATCTGCCTTTCACAACAATAAAGTCGCGATGCCTAGAGTGTTAAATTACTTGTAGTTGCTCAAAAAGAAACACTTCTGAACTTGTGCAGCTTTTAAATGCTGAAAACAGTATTTTTTTGTCAGATTCACCTCTAGTGGGTAACTTTTACATTGCATTAAAAATATAAAAGTATTTATAAAGTAGTAACATTTTGTCATCGTCTTTTTTTTCTTGGTAATAGCAGTCTATAGATTCTTTTTAAATAAAAAAAAAAAAGTGCAGGAACAGATCAGGAAAGCTGAAACCCTCTGTAAAAACAGAAGGATGTGCATTGCCTGGCATAGCCAGCATTCATGAGCAGTTGCAAGACATTAGTTTGACTGCTTCTTCCTCCCTGCTACTTTAACTGCTCAAAACAGTTTTATTTTATTTCACCATGGCAGGTGGCTCTTTTTTCACTTACGCAATTTTTCATTTAACATTTAATTGTAGCTTGAGCCTGATTCTCTTTTGCTTATAGTTACTTTTCAATGCTTTTGCTAGAATGATTTCTAATTATATTAATTTATTTATTTAAGCTATTAAGGCAAATTTGGAGGTAATATAGAAGGTAGTGCACAAGTTATTAGGGGGTCTAAAAGGACTTGAGCACAAAGGAGACTAAGTTATTTTAAATCCTGTACCAGGAATTTGGAAAAAATCTTTAAAAATTTAACAGATTATGTTCTGCTTTATCATCTCCTTTTTTTCTTTTTTAATAAATTTGTCCATATGATCATGATTCAGCATAAAGATTTTTACACTCTGAAGGTCAGATTACCATAGAAAGTAGTATCTGAATGTCAGTTTGAGTAAGTGTAAACTGCTGAACAAGTCTTGTGTCCTGTTAATGGAGAATAGTGAAAGATGTCAGGTTCCTGTTGCTCACCCTGTTCTTTTGATTCTCTGGCAATTTGGACTTCCTTCCTGGAGGCTCCAGATGATTAGCTGCACTTACCTTTCTTCCTTGTTACTATTTAAAAACAGAAGGGCAGTATGGGGAAAGGTTTTTCTACATTCATAACCTGTCACCTTGTTTCCCATGAGTGAGTCTGGCAGCATTTTTCCCTCCCTCTTTCCAAAATGCTTACTCCTCGTAGTTTAATTCAGTCCTTAAGAACAGACACTCTTCTGTGTTTGGTGCTTCAAGCTGTTGAATTATCACCAACTACAGTATTTCAGAACAGAAACATTTTTATTTACTTTCTCTTGAAGATGCAGTTTATCTGTTTCCTTTTAGGCTTTGTTATTTTTTACATAGGACACCGTACTGTGATTTTAGATAAATTTCTGATTAATGAGGAAATTATTAAACTACTTGAGAGAACTGGGCCCCAAGGGCACATGACAGAGTCAAAATTGCTTCCCTACTTTCCTTTTTCTCACAGGAAATAGTATCTGTTTGTTGACTTATACTGATAGAATGAAACTGCAATTCTCCTGCTGACTGATGTACTTTGATATATTGCCAGAGGACAGAACACAGTATCATTCACTACCCTATATTCAAGGTTAATATTATTATGCCCCTTATATACATGTCCTGCCAACTAGTCCACGTTGCTCTATAGCCTGCAATGGCTAGGATTATGTATTTTAGACCTAAAAGGATCAAATCACTTTCTAAGCAGAAGGGACAAGACTAGGTGTCAAAACTATAAAACTAACACACTGCAGGTAAGTAAATGTAAATGGTTATTTTCCAAGACTTTGAGAAAGTATGCTTCAAGAGGGATCAGAAGAAGGGTGCTTTTAAAAATAATCTTTTTAAAGTTAAAACTCTACTAATTATGAAAATTGTTTCTTTTCTTCTTGATGTTCCAAACACATTTTTGCTTGCCATTTTTTCACTTTGACATGTGGGTCTTGTAATATTAGGTTTTGTCACAAAAAGTTTGAAAAAACAAAGCCTGGGCTGTGTTTAATCTGTACTGTCACTTTGTCAGTCTCACTGGTGTACACCAATGTAATTTCCCATATTCACAGAAATAGAAGGAAACGATGATCACAGAGAAGCAAACAGAATTATTTACTTCTTAATAACAGAGTGGGAAAACTGATAGCAAATTAATGGCATAGGCTTGGTAAACTGCTGAGAGTTTGAAAGAAAAACAAAGTGAGTTCTTTCCATCATATATTAACTATAATAGGACAGTGATGAATAAAATCAAATACTTCTGTGCCAAGGATGACTTCTTACCCTATAATTGGTTTCACAAGATTAATAATTTTGTGACTATCTGCAAGTTTAATTATTATCAAGGGAAGCTTATTGAAAATCGAATGGGTATGTTCTCGGGGGAAAGTAAACATTTAAAATTAAAATTAACAATCTCAATATTGCTAAATAAAAAAGAAATCCATTTAAATTATGTCAGTGTTTAAAATTATAAAATGGGAATAAACTGGAATTGTCTCTCCATCCAAAGATTAATGATGCAGTTCCTCTGCTGATGTAAGCCTAAATTGCTTCTGACTCAGTATGTATTTCCCATAAATAAGAATGTCATATGCAAAATATCATTGAAACTTTTGCTGTAATAGCTCTATAATGGTGGACTACAGAGACTCAGTTCACAATAAGGTGAAAATCTGTATCCCCACAACAAAGACAGCAGACATGGTTAGTCGGTGATATAATTGATCACCCTCACACTGCTGCACTGTGGGGACAGCAAAGTATGACAAAGCAGATGCTGGCTTATGGAAGAACAAAGATAAAGCACAAGTATACAGGCACACTTGGAATGATTTAAAAATAGCGAGAAGGATGCATGAGCCCAATTTTGCAAGTGAAGTACCTTAATATAGCGGTGTTACGATTAATATTTTGTACAGTGGAGTAAATATCTTTGTCAGGCCAAAAGGACTAGTGATAGCAGAAGTGGTATTCAGAGACATATTATTTGGAAGACACACAGAACTCATTTCCTCGGGGTCTTTTTCCTTCTCTAGTTAATTCTCAAGGCCCCATTTAAATTATAGGGATATTGCAGTAAGGAAGATAAAATTTCCTTTTTTGTTGTGTATTAAAAATACTTATTTTGGTTGCCTTTGTATGTACTATACTAGAGCAAATGAGATTGTCTCTACAACCAAGGACATAGTCTTCAGAACTGGGAGGCGTTAATATACCCATAATATCATGTCAGCAAAAAAGGACAGATTGAGACAGAGTTCCAGCCTTTTTTCCTCCCTCCAAGAACAAGGGTGTTTCTCCATATAGCTACTCATAGTATTGAATGAATACAGTCTTCAAGGAAAGTCCCCCAAATATTTTTTTTATATTTTTTTTATTTTTTAATTTAAAACATTTTATATACGTACATGCTGTTTTAAAATGCTTAGTCAGTTACAAAAGATTATCTGGACTGACAATTTGAACCACAAGACTGTTGCAAAATGATCTCCCAAGTTGCTACAGGCACAGACAGCTTCCAAATTAGGGCAGGATGCCTATCCTTGTACCACATTAATTTGGTTGGCAAAGCGAAAAAACAGTGACAGCCTGTGGTTTGAAAAAACTGAGTCATAAACCTCTGAATAACAGGTTTTATATTAGAAATGGCAGTTCAGCTAGGCACTGCTGAAAGAAACAGTAATGATGATGGAAACAGTGCTTGCATTATGTACTGAAGCCTTAAAAGTTGTGTGCTGAAAAGATGAACTAAAACTTTTTGTAACTCCTACAGTTTTGCTTAAATCAAATAGCACAGTCAAGTACTACTTGCCTTCTATTAGATTCAACAATTGGAGTTGCTAGCATAATTTTTAACAGTTTTGCATTTGCTTTAAACAGACACTTGCAGCTCGGAAGTCTGGCATTTCTATGGCCATGCTCATCCGGACCTCCATAAACAATGATGAAATGGTAAGTGTTTTCAGTGGAAGCATTCTGTTTATTGTGTAGGAACTTTCAGGGATCTTGAGCAGAATTTGCTGCCTGTTCCACAGTGACAAGACCAGGTTTGCTTCTGCTGACTCACATCCATGACAGTCAGAAGAGACTAAGGAAGAAACCTTTGTTTTACAAAACAGTTACGTGGGGAAAGTTTTCATTTCAAATTGTCCAGCTGCACCATGCTTTACCTGCAGTCTCTCTTCTTCACACCACAATTACAATTAGCTTTCTGTGTGATTAGCGCACCCCTCCCACCACCACCCCCCAGTCCTTAAATGTGTCTGGGATTTGATTTTGTAAATGTAATTCCTGCTAATAAATTCCTGCTAATTATTCTTCTAGATGAAGAAATATTTAATTCATACAAGAAATAACCAGGATAATCTGTTGGAAGATCGTATTTCATAGCTAGAAAAACCTGTGTGTTGTGCTTTTCTATTATTAACTTCACTTACCTTTTGCAAAAGAAATTTATTTTAAACAAAAACACAAGTGCAATTCCATTTTCTTCAGGCATACTTAAAGTGCAGTACAAGCAGATTTACATGACTGAACCAAGCAAAGATACTGATTTGAAGGAATAAAGGGCCCTTTTGTGCTCCTTATACTGCTAGTGCAAGCATAACTTTCTAGAATATATCCTGCATTACACTGAAAATAAAATTAAATTTTGATTTTTTTCTTAAGCTGTTCTTAAGCTCCATAGTAGAAGAATTAAAAAGCAGAACATGTTGACAGATATTCTGGGAAATAAAACCCATAGCACAAGTATACATACATCCGTCACTCTTTTCTGATTTATTGTGATCTTTCTGTGCTTATATGGTAACCATAAAGGAACAATTTAGTAGTGCTTAGGAATGGATCGATAAGGCAGGAAACAGCTGGTGTTTGAAATGGTCTTTCAGTGTAGGAGCATTAGTTATTTTGTTCTGCTGCCTTAAAATAACAACAAAGGTTGATAGAACAAAGGAGAACTATGGAATCTTAAAAAGTTAAAGGCTGAGAGAAAATTACAGAGAACAAACTTATGCCATGCAATTGGTGCAAAATAAAAACTTTTTCCATCTATGTTATAGCTGCTACAAAAATATTTAAGTTCAGTAAACTCTTCTAAGTTACTCCATATACATTACTGTAAGATGTCTACTAAACAAATAAAGTCATGTACAAGTATTAGTACCTTTTATGACAATAAATACAGGTTTAACTGTTTGTTTACATGCCTCCCCTCATGCAAAAACTACCAGACTGTGACTTTGGAGAGCTAAAGGTACAAGTTTTGGAGATAATATTAATTGCCAAGAAATGCAGGACAAGAAATAATAATTTGGACTGCGCTTACAGATTCTGACCTAAGTGGTACTGTTCAGTAGGAAGAAAGAAGGCAGCAAATCCCAATGTGTAGCTCAATGCAAACATTTCTCCAACACCTGCTGTCAGTCAGGAGAAACTACTGAACTGTGATTCAGAATGAATGGAACTGGAAAAATTAGTTAAATGTATTTTTATGGCATTATACTATTTGGCCTCTGTTTGAACCAAGCCATATGAAAAATGGCGTACCAGAAATAGATATTTCTTAAGAAATCTTTAAATAAAAATATAAACCCAAAGGCAGAAAACATATATAATTTAGATACATAGAAGTTAATTCGATGAGAAAATGTAAAAAGCTAATTTAGAGGAAAGGTGAATAAGAGAAGCCTGTCTTATGCCAGCACTCACTAAACATACTAAAGGGAAGTGCATACTCTTTCAGTGATAAATGTAATGGTAAAGCCAGTAAAACAACTTACAAGATATTTTTTCAAAGTGAAAATAATACTTTTCTACTTGGTCTGTAAGTAGCCAGCAGAACTTAATGCCCTAAAGCATCATCAAAACTGAGTAGAGCAAGATCTGAAAACAAAAAGAACAGACATTTTCAGGCATAAAAGAACTCTCCAGATACTCTCCACAAAACAAGATGAAGTGCAGTCACCGATGGGAGTTAAGGAAGAAAATCCCCTTTGGGCAAGTTATTCCTCTGATTAAGGCTTTTTCTGGTTTTTACTCTCCCTCAACCTTTCCTGGAGGGAGTATTAGCAACTCTGATGGAAACAGGCTGTTTGGCTGATGAGATTCAGTATGGAAATTGTTTGAACTAATGCCTTCTATCAAAAATCAAACACCACTTACTCCAAAAGTTAAAATCTGAGGTTAAATGCTTTGAGCTTTGCCACCCGACATTGCTATCCTCCTGGTATAACACATTCATGACACTGTGAGCTTGTATGTTTTCAGGCACTGATCCAAAGATTTTTTAAGCAGTGTCAAAATATTAACTTCAGTCATGCTTAAATATATGCTTTCACTTGAGCATTCATTTAATTACTTTGCTGAACAAAAAGACAGAGCTGCAAGTTTGTCAACGACAATGACATTGAAAAAATATCTCAAGTAGTATATGATAGAAATAAACTTTACATTGGAGGATAAGCAGATAACTAAATAATCTTCCTATATATTAACAGTGCTCAATGTTGCCATGCCCTGAGCTCAGTGAATGCATGTAATAGATACATTTAAACAGAGAAGAGTATTAGGAATGAAAGCCTCTAGACAGTAAGGTAAATAAAAATTCTCCTTTACAATTGTCATTTTCTTTATTAACAACAGGGGAAAGATCGTGTTCAGCAGCAAAACCGATCTACAAATTGTGTCTTTCAGCTGAAAATTTCATTTAGCTTCAGATGTTTATTTCAAGGCCTGTTGAGGTGTGCCATTTCATTACTTACTGCCATTTCAGAAATAGATAAAAGTTATTAAAATTATTTATATGGGGAAAAACCAGCAAAGCTGAGAAGGGTGAGTGAGCAGGATTTGTACTGATACTACTAGAGTTCAGTTGTGTGAGAATGTAATCTACAAAGGAATCCAGAGACCTGTTGGTTTCTGAGGAACCTGACTCCTCAACAAGCTGCATAAATTCACTTTAGGTTGTTTTTGAAGTTTTCTTTCTGATCCCTGTAGCTGGTAAGCTGTGACATGGGAGGCAGAGGGTGAGGAAATGCACAAAGATAGAAGTTTACAAAGTTAGGTGGCCATGACTAAGCCCTTAGAAAAGGGTCTGACAAATTAAACCTGTGCAGACCTTGGCTCGCTTTCAGGGATGTTACTAGATGGCTAATTGTCTAGGATAGGCTGAGAAAGCACCCTGGAGAGCAATTCAGGCTTTGTTTTAGTCATTCTTGATATATCCGTCTTGTTTTTTAGTTCAGTTCTATGGTGTTCTCAGGGGTAGTAGGACCAAATGTCCATTAAATATCAGAGCACATTTGTTTTTTCAGGCTTCACAGGATAGATGATGTTTTTAGCATGTAACTATGAACTTCAATAAGAGCTGTTGAAGCCGAAGGTACTTAACATTTTTGTTATTTCTAGTGCTTGAACCTATGAATCCATAGATCTATGGCTACATGGCAATGATTTTCCCATGGTAGCAGAAGTCCTTTAATTGATGGCTCTGTGCAACATTATGCAGATATGCATAGAAAAAAAAAATCAGACTATTATTAGCAGAATATCTCACATGTTTTAACAGAGATGCAGATACATAAAACCAAGAGCATGTTAGTGTGCTGTTAGACAGGCTAATATCTTGCATTTGGCATAGACTTACCACAGCTGAATATTCAAATTGAGTATTATCAAATGCTTAACTAAGATAGCCTCACTTTCTTTACTATCAGAACCATGACAGTGATGTTAAATCTCATACTGCCAAACCACACAAATTCCAAAATGTTGTTCACCAGTTTGCTACAGCTACACGGCCAGCGTTACAGTTATCTTGCATTATAGCCACACAAGATAAAGAGATGGTAGGACAGACGGAATTTCAGAAATATTTCACTTCTCACTGTGCTGCTTCTTTTAATATGGTTTCTTCTTTCCATATAAAAATATGGATTATTTTATAAGAGAACAAGTCTAGAACTTCTAATAAATTTATGGCAGCCATATGTGCTTTTAGTGGAGGGGAAAAAAAACCGAAACAAAACAGAAAAACCCACCAAAAACCAGGAAGGTCATATTTTTATGTGGTGCCAAGTGCTGCATACAGGTTGCTGAGTTATTCTTATTCCAGATAAATAAAATGGGCTTAGAATATCTGTGTGTCTGAAAACAAAGCTCAAATAAACAAAGCAGACCATAGTGGTCATATAACACGATGGTTTATACACGAAACTTCACTACTTTGGTTTTGCCTTATGAAGTGCTAAGGAGCTGAGGTTCAGGTTGTTTGCAGTACTAATCAGTGAATAACTGATAATTGTTCTCCTACTAGAACTCCTCATGGATCCTAAGCCAAAACAGTCTAAGAAATGGGTGTGCATTTTTGAGAGTAAGAATCAGTCTAGTTTGTAGCTAAAAAGCATCTTGGTGCTTAAAAAGGAAGTAGTGAGTATACTATTACAGGAATACAGATAAAATGGAACCATAAAATTGGCCCACTTTTATTTGATGAAATTATATGGACAGCAGGTATTAAAGGATAGCATTGTATATAATCAAAGTACATTTTGTGCAGTGTGTCTAAGTTCCTCTAGGAAGTATTTAAATATTCAGAAGTAATGTGTTAGGTAGTTACTTAAAATGCATCAATGAATGCAACGCTAGTGAATTTTTAAATTTCTGCCTCAAAATATAAAAAATACATAGGACTGGGTTAATTGACTGACCTTATTTCAACTTACTCTTGTTTCTGTAATCCATCAAAACAGTCATCCAGGGTTCTTTTGTCTTCAAAATGCAAGACAAAATGAGTAAATCGGTATTTTGCAAATTAGTTCATACTTCTGTGTACATTCTGATTTTTTTAACATTCTAAGTGTAATGACATATAATTTAGCTCCAGTTCACTTGTATTAAATACTTAAATTGAAGTCTTCATTATTTTTTTCCTTGCCCAACAGAAAACACATGTCTTCAAGAAGACATTGCAGGCTTTGATCTATCCAATATCATCAACTACACCTCATAACTTTGAAGTTTGGACAGCTACAACTCCCACGTACTGTTATGAATGTGAAGGTCTACTCTGGGGCATAGCACGACAAGGCATGAGGTGCACTGAATGTGGAGTCAAATGCCATGAGAAGTGCCAAGATCTCCTAAATGCTGACTGTTTGCAGAGTGAGTATTTCCTGACAGCTAAAGCTTTACAATACTTCACACCTTTTGATTTTGTATGTACACTCACATATTTCCTGAAATGAAGGACCAGATCATCAGAAATCAGTGAAGGCATGTTGATGTTCATTGACTGAGGAGCTAGCCAGAAACTTTATGAAATACCTACTGTTCATTTTGCTTTTGTGCTTGGAACTTGGTGAATGTTGCTGGTCAGTTACAAAATAATGTTTGGTAGCATCAGTATATTATTTACTTTCCACTGCCTATGGCAACATCCGGAGCAATTTGTTACATAACATAGACCCTCTTTGTTTTATTTAACTCAGAACACATGAAATGTCAAAGCAAAGATTAAAAAAAACCCCTAATATTTATTGTAGTCATATTAATATGCTATAGAATAGGCAAAAATAGAAAACAATAAATAGGATCTTGTCCCTTCAAAATACCAAACCATGTATGTATAAGTGAAAAAATTATTAGTCAGGAAGTCCTTTCAGACTAGAATTAAGGTGAAACAACCTTTTTCATTGCTTTTTCATTGGCCAAATTGATTCCAGCCACCATTCATTCCTCCAAGAACACCTGAGGTGCCTTTAAACCATACTTAAACTACAACACAATTACTACACAAGATTCTAAACAATAGAAATTGAAGAGCTGCAATCTTTCTCATATTCTGATTTTGGAATGGAAGGGGCTTGTTTACTGATGATATGTTCCTGTGGGTTTAGCTAGCTTCTACATTTAGGAAAAGTACATAGATATTCCAGTTAGGTCTTCTTTCTTCCCACTGTGTTCTCTATATGAGGTGCTGTCACAAGGGATGGAGTCTCGAGATTCATATTGTTCAGAAACTAATCGCCATTTCCCAGAGCAGCTGACCCCATGAAGCATAAATCAATGACAAATTTCTAAATCAAACTGCCTAACTGTGCTTAATTGTGATTCTACATTATGGTTGAAACTGGGCTGCCTTTGATAGCTAAACTTTTGACATAGTTTCAAAGGTGAGAAAAGAATGTTTGCTCTGAAAATCAAATATTATAAAAGTATGTTGTGCAGCATTAATATGATTTTTGGTGGCGAGTTTTCAAATTGTGTAAAGTGAAGAAGATACTCATGAGTAATTTCTTCAATAAGTGTAAATAACTTCTCGTTATTTACACTTATTGAAGAACAGTAACAAAAGAAAGTATACTTTCATAATGTCAGTTCCTATTCAGTCTTATTGAGTAATTGTCCTATTTCATTCTAGGTACATTTTAAGACTAGTTAAAAAGAATTAATTACACATCAGCCCATTGATTTCTCTGTTTTAGGTAGTCATTTGACACACTAGTTCTGCTGGGAATCACTTGGCTTATATTACTTGGACTTAGAGGCCTGAAAATGAGTTAGAAGAATGATGAGTTTGTACTTATATTGGCAACAGGATATGTGCTAATTAACCACTGAAGTTGAAGGAGGAAGTAGAAATAGCTTTCCTAAATTTAATCTCTTCCATTGTGCACTTCTTGTTTAGCACTGTTTATGTACAGGAGGAAGAAAACATGTACAAGGGGCTCTGACTTGATTCTGATATTCTCAAAATGGAATGTGGGTTTCATCTTGTAGAAGGGCCTCAAAACAAATCCATATGAATTGCAGTGGATCAAATTGAAGTTTACTCTCTGCGCATTCTTCCAGAAATTGGGCTATTGCTGGATTTGGAGCAACTTTGCAAGGGCTCTCATCTGCTGCTTTCTGAAAATTCTGCTTGTATTCTGTGGCAAAGAGATAACTATCAAGTGTTCTATACAGTGGTATGGGAATTCCCCTGTCATGGTTATATACATAATGGTCTAGAAATAAAGCATAGCTGAAACTTCCTTTCTAAGGGTTCAACAGATTGGTGTATCATGTTCTAATGTATTGTTTCAGAAATATTTTTAGTTTAAGTAAATCAACATTGATTCACTCCATGAATGAGAGACATACAAATACATCATGATTTAACAGTAGTGTAATGAAGTATTGCAAAGATCAAATGGTTATAAGCATCATAACCACACCTTTCTGTTTGGAGGAACATTGCTGTTGTTGTTAGTTGGGCTCTCCTTGTTTCACCAAACATGTAGAAAATCCTTCTTCTATTCTACCAGGCTTCCCAACCTAGTTACTGCATGCCATTCAGTTCATTTTTTAATTACATCAGAGAGAGTTGCAAGTATTTTTGTACTGGAAGTTTGTTATGGCTGGGACATTTATTTTTGTCTCATAGATCTTCTGTCCTGTAGTGTGCACTACTGAGTACAGCACAACACAGATCAATGGTGTATTCTAAAGAGATACCTCACATCCAGTCACCCCTGATTTCAAGAATATTTAGATCTAACCTTTAGGATTTGGGTTCATTTTTATCAGAGAAAACAACAGTTAAGTCTTTGTCGTCTCATTCCTGCAGAAGTTTGCAGAGTGAAAAGTGCAAACTTCCTGAGATGCCTGTGAAAGCTAGCGTATAGAAAGTATAGCATTTCAATCTATTTCTGCTATTTGACTTACAGTTCAAACAGGAATTGTGAGAAAAGCAAGATTCAAGATAATGTGCCCGATATCAGGGTTACAAGTTTCTTGCAATCCTCATCTAGTCCATGATTTCTCATAATAGAGAATAGTTAGAGAGATTTTCTTTCTGATACTTCTTAAAAGTGATGAAATCTCTTGTTACTGTACACACTGGAAAACAACATTCAAGTCACCTAGGCCTGAGTGCAATACCTTAATATTTCTGCTTGTATGACATTTAATTTGGTCACAGTTCATGTCTTTCTGAGCAAGAGTACAGGCAAGAACTGATTTCAAGTGTTTATGTTGCCATGCCTCTATGGAGGGGCTGAGCTCAAAATCAGCAATCCTTTCCCTGTGTGGTGAAACACCTTCACATTATATTTACACGTTAAAAATATTTAACATTCCATTGAAAAAATTAATTGATTAGTGCAGTTGGTTAAATCTCTATTTCTAAGAAAGCTGATGCTAACAGTATCATAAAGTGAAATGGAAATGGTTCACTGTGGTTATTTTGTTCAGTCATCCTTTTGCCCATCTCAATCACTGGGGCATATTAGTCTCCAAGCCTCTGTGATTTATTTATATATATATAATAATTGCTAATGTAGACTGTAGAAATGAATTAACATCTCAAGCTCTGTAAGGTCAATATCTAAGCTTGTTCTAAATTAGATTTTTAAAAAATCAGTAGTACTTTCATTAGACCTCTCAGTTTCAACAAGATATCCCTTTCTAGTAGTAGGTGCAATATTATATCAGAATTTATTTCAATCATGTTTAGTTTATATTAGTCCCTAGAAAAAAAGGGGCTTGTTAACTTACTGTATAATGTAAGTTAAGATATTGTCTTAATTAGTCTAATCAATACAGCATGAAAGAGCTGTTGATAGACTGTAAGCAATAGAGGATGTAAAAATAGCAGCAATGAATAATGTGGTATAAACAGAAGGTTATGCTGATTTTTCAGTAATACTTAAGTTGCATTTTAACACATATTTCATTTTATCTGTCCTATCTCAAAAATCAGCAAGGTATTTTCAAAAGGAATATGTTATTGCAAATAAAATTGTATCCATGGATTACCATTTGGTTATGATGTTGTATCTGTATTTTTTAAGGAAAGGCAGAAAATCAGAGAATGAAATAAAAAATGTTGCTTTCCTGCGTCTTACAAGAACCACCTGTCATGCTTTCAAGGCAGCTGAACAATTATCTCTTTTGTGATAAAATCACTACAGAATTATTTAACAGGTTTTTAATTTCATTATAGTATTCTTTTTCTTTTAATTCCTAATTTTTCAGTGTGGAAAATCACTAGAACTTTGGTCTTCAGCATTAAAAAAAAAAATAATAGGTACTCAGACCAGGAGACTTCCAGGATTTCTCAAGACTTAGTAGCCATGGAAAACACCTTGAAGAAGCCATATAATTCAGCCTTTTGACAATTTCGAATCGCTGGTATCTGATCTCACACTTTTCCAATCCTAGGACGTTATGCCTTCCTACTTTATATTTCTTCTTCACCATCTGGTGTGCTAAGAAATCTTCAGACACAATGAAAACAGTAAAGAAAACAAAGGATAAAATATCTGTTCTGTAAGACTTCACTGACATCTTATGCTGAAAGATGACTCTTTCAAGCTTTATAAATGTGTTTATAATTTCTTCTTTAGCCATTGCAAGCCAAGAGTGACTCAACAATTAAGCAATCAACAAAAAGTGCCATCAAAAGAACATACCAGTGTTTTACGGTATTGAAGAGAAGGAACTGTGTTCATCTTCAGTATTGAAATACCTGAATTCTAATTGCATAGCAAGTTGTTCAACATAATTTTGTCTTAATTTTACTATCTATTTAAAGAGAACAATAGTACTTTGATTATTCCAGGAGTTGAGCATGGCTAGTTGGATGATGTTTTCATAACCTATTGGAAGGTTAAGGTACTTACTGCTGCTAGTGATGATGATTGTCATACACAGTGCCATGAGCCCTCAAGTAGTGTTTAACACCATGAGTTAAAATTCAGCAATACCTATAGCAAGTGGTAAGGTTTCATTGATTATAAAATTTGTAGTGTTCTTGCATCTTGCTTTATATGTCAGTCTTGTCAAGAGTTGAAATAACCATTTAGCACTGCAGGAATTTCAATTTTTGCTTCCAACATTTATAATACCATTCTGACCATACAAGTCTGATGTTTCTTTCCTCATAGCCAACTGCAAGATGGACATTTATTTTTTCAAACTTAGATTATTCCAATACAATATGTATTGTGGAGACTCTGACCAGAAAAACTTCCCTCTGACAGACAAAGGACAGTTTATAAGAACTTCACTTTGGCTTTTAAAGGGACTCAGAGATCAGTTATGATTTTTAGAGAGAAAAACCTCTCAAGAGCTTTCCTGGGAAGAACTGTGAATAAAACCTGTAACAGCATGGTCTCTCTCTCTCTCTTAAAAAAAAAAAAAAAAAAAAAAAAAAAATAAACCACCAAACCAAACAAAACCCCACCAAACACAAACAAGCCAGTAAATCTATACTGATTTTCATGTCCCAGACAAATCGGCAAATCACCTGAGTATTTTCTTTGCTTTCCAGACTTATTTTATAGCACACATCTGATATATGCCTGCACATTAATACAGTTTAGAGGTTATTCTTCCATAGATAATATCCTTTGATGTCTTCTAATATCCTTGTATACTTACTGAAATTACCGATGACAATTTTACTGAAGAGAGGAACCTGTCTGTTCCTCTGACATATTATTTTCTTGGGTGGTCACTCAAGAAGAGTTTTCCAAAGAGCTCTGAAGTTTAATCCCACACAAGCACAGGTGTGATGCGTAGTAACTGAGTTTTAATATAACAATATATTGCCCATTGCTCAGGTTTCTTCCTTTTTAATTTTTTTTTTTAACACTGGCATTTGGTACTACTGTGAAAACAAAGTGTGCTGTCATGCTACACTCCTGGTGAGTTATGGATTATTACCAATGTATCAGCAAAAGAGAGCAAGTGCTGCTGCATCTCAGAACTGACCCTGCAATAGCTCTGTTCTGTCATTAGGTTTCCATCTGCGTGATACAAGCCTATGCAGAAAAGGAATAAATTTATTTCTTGAAAATGTACTGCGTTTAGTTAGAAGGTTCTCTACTTTCTACTGCCATGATGTTTATATCTGTTAATTCATCTGCATCTTTCTATTTTGTAAGAGGAAGGAGACTACAATTCTCTCCCTTGAATCCTGTCCTTGGCCTGTGGCTCTCAAGAGCAGGGTAGTGCAGGTTCACATCACTCAGTATGGTGAATTTGAAAAATTAGATTTCATAAGATTCTCTATCCCCATGTTACACTTTCCAGAACCTTATTTGTGTCTACTAGACACAAAATTCCTCGCAGAAATTCCCTGGGTGGTTCTAGTGTTAGAATTCTTGGAAAAACATTCCCTTTAGTCTATTCAGCTGCAACCTGAATATAACATCATATCTGCTCTTTGGGAGATAGGGCACGGAAGAGTGGCTTAAGCAGCCATTAGAAGATTCCACTGTTGACGTTGAGCTTTGTGAAGCACTCCTTTGTTCATGCATGATGTTTAAAGAAGGGACCGGGTGCACTTCTGATCCGGAGTGAGGATGTCAAGTCAATGTTACGGAACTGTTTGATAGGTAGGGAATCCCAAGCTGTTCTAAATTCTTAAATCCAGTGAATGCTTATGTTCAATAGATTTTTTTAATGCTTTGTTAAATATATTTATGTGATAATTAACTTTTGTTTTCAATGAACGCTCATCCAGGAAGGAGTGAAAAACTTTCCATGAGTGCAGGCAACGTTAGCAAATATTGAGATGTATCTGGAAGCAGGCAAGAAAGTGTCTGAAGCTGCCTATTTCTTTCTACTGTTCATTAGACTTCCACTGTGGGAGAGCATAGCAGGAGTCTAGGTTAATGTCCTTGCTGTCAAACTAAAAATACTCCAAACAATGAGGTGGAAACATTGCCTGGTTTAAATAATGCTTCTATTAATTTTCTATGGGTTTTGTCCTAATGAACCAAATATCATTTCTTGTACCATCCTTCTCCAAAAGGAGAATGAGAAAGGAATGTTATATCATGCTGACTTAGGAAAAAATTTAATAAATTATTTGAGGTATTATTCACATATACATTATTGAAGTTTAGCTAGTAACAGAGGCAAAGGATAGAGCAGACAGACCCAGGTACTGCACACTTCTACACACCTGTCTGGAAGAATCAGAATGCCTAATTATATAAGAAAAGTTGCTCACATGTTTGGATGTTTTCATAGTACTGATTAGTACTGAATACTGATTCAGTGAATATTTCTAGGTATAACACATATCTGATTCAAGTTGAATATTAACCTGTCATATTAAACTAAATGAATTGATAATTTTAAGTATCACAAAGAATAAATATAAGAGGCTTGATATTATCTAGATAAAACACGTATCTCCTTTGAGTACTACAGTACCAAGAATTGACTGGAGTGTCTAGAGGAGAAAAAGAACCTATAAAGCAACTTTTTAATGACAGTATCAACCTTTTCTCTTCTTTCAGGAGCTGCTGAGAAAAGTTCCAAACATGGTGCAGAAGATAAAACACAGAATATTATTAGTGCTATGAAGGAAAGAATGAAGATTAGAGAGAAAAATAGACCAGAGGTGTTTGAAGTGATCCAGGAAATGTTTAATATTTCAAAAGACGATTTTGTACAATATACAAAAGCAGCAAAACAAAGTGTTTTGGATGGAACATCCAAATGGTCGGCAAAAATAACCATCACAGGTAAATTTTCTTTTTAATCATTTGCTCTAAAAGCTTTCTTTCAAAGTCTCCTGGTTTGGGAATAAGATTTATTGTAACTAGAGCTGGAACTGCATGTTCAATTGTGTACTTGGTGCACCTATAAATGGTTGAATTTATAGCATGCTAACTGGAAGAGTTTTAGAGTTACAGCTGTTGGCAAAACTACTTCACATTCTACTGCTCTAGGAAGGAAGATAAATAAATGATCTTGTGTCTCATCTACCTCCTATCAATATCTCCTGTGCTAATGCTGAACATTTTGCCACCAGTTGCAAGAGTTAAAGTTCACAATGGCATTTATGGATTTTTAATGACTATAATGCTAAGAACATTGTGGTCTGCAATTCCAGATCCTGTTAGTTTGAAATTCATCATGCGTTCTTGTTGCTTGACTAAGGGTGTGTTCCAATTTAGTGATGCTGAGCCAGGGAAACGTGTGCAACCAGAACATACTCAAGATTTCTTCCAACTGCATTAGGTTGGTTGCTTATAAAGATTTCCAGGTCCTCTGACTTTGACATTTTGGATTTTGAATTAAAAACTCAGCACAGAAAATCTAAACAAAAGCTAAGATGACTACACAGGTCACCCTGACTTTTTATGATATTGTATTAGAGACAAATAGAAATTAAAATAAAAAAACAAAGAATTGAAAGGCAGTCATATGAAATATTAAAGGACCCTGGTTAGATTTCACAACTAAATTAGCCTCAATTTCATTTTAATGTCATGGTGGTAAAAAAACCAACCCTATTCTAATAATAAAAATAAATTATGTTTTCTCTTTCTCCAGGATTCCTGTTAGGGGGGATAAGGAGATAAACTTTAGGAACTTATTTTTAGCTCTTACTAGTCAGTTTTGACAAAAATGAGTAAAACAAAAGCTATATTTTTAAAATAAACAATAGTGTATACTTAAGTAACACATTTTTCTTACTACTTAACAGCAACTTGCATAAAAGGTCTGTTTAAGTGAGTTCTTGGTGCCTGATGCTTCACACCTGTACATAAGGAAATTTTCCTAATGTGTTTTACAAGATATTTTCCATATATCCTCTGTAAGATCAAACACATGCACACTGTTAAAAAAATACAGGACTGTGCTTTACTACTCTTTTCTTTATGAAACAAGTGACTGGGATACTCTGAGCAGATACATGGCATTGTTTTAGCAAGTTACTCAGTAAATGTGCAAATGTTTTCAGACTATCTGCTGGCTAAACATCGCTAGTGTTGGTACAAAAGTCACTTATATTGCTGAAAGTCTTGGTTCTCTTTTAGAAGTAAAACTCATACTGACTTGAGTTCTGCAGAATCATGACCTAATAAATGAATCCTAGAATAATTTAGTAAGGGATGTTGGAAGGAATTTCTGCAGTATATTAAAACCTTCTGCTAAAAGCAGGACTAACTTCAAAGTTAGATTAGCTTGCTCTCAGGGCTTTGTCCAGCCTAGATTTGAAACTCTCCAAGGATAGAGATTCCACATTCTCTCTGGAAAACCTGTCCTGCTTACTGGACAAGCTGTTTCATTTTATTAACCACCCACATTGTAAAACTGTTTTCCTTATATCCAGCTGGGATTTCTCTTGTTGCCGCTTGTAGCTGTTACATTTTATTATTTCACTGTGTGCCTTTGAGAAGAGTCTGGCTTCATAGAATAGTTTGGATTGGAAGGGGCCTTTTAAAGGTCATCTAGTCCAACTACCCTGCAATGAGCAAGGACATCCTTAACTAGATGGACCTGCCCAGGATCTCATAATCTCTGACATGCTAAAGGTAATTGAGGACTGCAGCTTGATCTCCTCTTAGTCTTTCCCTTCTCCAGGATAAGCAAACTCAACATCCTTAGCCCTTTCTCCTGTGTCATGCACCCCAATCCCTCAGCCAAACTGGAAACCCTCCATTGGACTTTCTTCAGTTTATCAGTCTCTTACTGGAGAGCTTCAAAGTGCAGAAAAAATGTTTCATCTGGGTGTGACTTCACAAGCATCAAATGCAAGGAAACACTTCCTTCAGTTTGCTGACTACATGCTGAAAAGAGAATTTTCCACACCAAGTGAAGAAACTTAGAGACAAGCCTAAGCTAATGGCTGGATCTTAGAGAAAGATGGAAAGAGGATCCATGCTTACTGAGGAGCAAAATTAGGGAAATTCCCTATTATTAATAGGGGATAGTAGTAGTAGTCTTTACCTGCTGGTGTTTGAGATGTGTACTTCCACATAAATAGTTTGGACATATATAGTCCAAATATGTTGGGTCCCAAGTTATAGAAGACTGACAATTCCTTCCCTGACTGGCTTTGTATTCTACCCATCCTTAAAAAAAAATTAAAATGAAAATAATTTTTGCTCTGCCTTTACCCTAAACTTCCTAATTTTCTAAGTATGGAGTTCCAGGGGGTTTTGAGCCCATTTGTTAAAAATATAAAAATGCAACACTTTCCAATTAGTTTCCAAGAACAACTGGTTGATATCAAGCAAGATGTAAATTTACCAACTGAATTTCAACAAAAAACTTTCCAATCCCATCTACCTGTAATTGGTAGAAGGGATTGGAAATCAGTGTAGCAATTTAGTAAGTGCAGCCAATGATGCACTACTTCCATTTGGCTCCACATATCTTTGTGAGATATATTTTTCAGCTATGGCAGCCATTAAAACTGAGTATGAAAATAAACCAGACTTGGACTCAGATCTTCAAATCAGTGTATCACAAAATATTAATACAATATTTTCAAAAACAATGAAGCATATTCAATCACATGCTCTCACTAAAAATATTATTATTAATAATATTTTTGAGACAAAAGGGTTTTTGTTATATTAATAGAATTTTAAAAAAATATTTTTAAAATATTTATTATTTCATCTTTATCTCATCTTTTTTAATTTCTAGTTTTGTGTATGTTTTATAATGTATATAATGTATTAGTATCAGTGGTAAATGTATATGATTTGTAAATAAATAAATGTATTTGGTTTGCATGCTCCAAAAATTTTACTAGAGTACTTTTAGATTCCGTGGCAATTTTTTTAATATATCGGGGAAGGGTCTTTGAGAGATGGAATTGCCATTTCCATTGCTGAAATGTAAAGCTGGCATTCAGGAGGGCAAGGAGAAAAGCATTTCTCAAGTGGACCATGGACTAATTATTCCGTGAGAGTTGGTAGGTGTTTTTTTTTTTTAGCTACGTGTGGCTCTGTAGTCCAAACTAAAGTTCAATGACATCTGGGGCAGTATGTAAACTGTACATGGAGCTGAAGATTAGCAGATATGTGCCAGAAGAAATCTAGGGAAAATCTGAGATTGTGAGTCAGATGGATTAGGAAAAACAGAGACCATTCTGAAGGTTGTGGGACGGTGCATGAAACTGAAAAGAATAGTTGAAGATTGGGACTGTCACCAAGAAGCACTGTGGAAATGGAGAGGAATGTCAGGGAAAATATTTAATTCATATTCTTACTTTTAGTTCTACCTCTAAAGAATACTCAAGGCTGCCTTGTATTTAGGCCAGGATAATAGTTAATGATTCTGGAAGACATTTTCTAAACTGGCACTTAATTCTCCTACATAAATAGGAGAGGGATACTTCCTTGTCTTCTAAAAATTTCCCTGTGGATTTACAGTGAATAGGGAAGACAAAATATGTTCTATTTCATTTCCAAGATTTAGTCTTTTGAGGAACGAGATATGTTAAAAAGTAACAGAAAATTACCTTTTTCACTGAAGTCGGCAGATATGACTGAACCTACACCAGGAGCTGATCTGCTGAGCAAGAAGGTGCCATTTTTATGTAATCATTTTTCTGAGCACACTGAGAGAGCTTCATTATCCAAAATGATTGATGTTAGAGAATGTTAAATGTAACCACTGAGATGGTTTAAATAACATATGGAAAATAATAAAACCAAGCTCTACTGATGCTAGGAGTCACAGCAAGTGTTTTAACTGCAACTCTCTGAGTTTGGTACGCTGCTATTTGACAGTTCTGCTTTCTCCTGAGATTTTCAGTTTTATGAATAATGATGGAAAATAAAATTGTGTGTATTTATATTTGCCACAAAATGCACGTACATTAACTATACACCCACATTAACTGTCAGAAAGGCTGACAAATACATTAACAGTTAATGATAATTGATCTGAACTGTCACACTGTTTGTGGTAGAATAGGAAGTATTCTGAAAATCCTCATGGTTCACCTCTCACATGATGAAAACAAATGACTAAGTCATAACCATGCCCCTCATGTTTAGTTTCATAATCCACAGTGCAGATTTTTGAAAATTGAAGGTTTTCTTTTGGAAATTTTAGTTTGGATCTTTGGAGAAATTTGGGAAATCATAGTTTATTTACTTGTTTGGGTGGAAAAATTGAAATTGTAGGAAATTATTAGACTCAAGCCAAGTTATACAAGATGCTGATTGAACCAAAGTTTGAGAAGAGTATCTGAATTATACATGGCAAGAAAAGTATTTGGTTTGTGCTTTGTAGAGATTCTTTAAATTTATTACTCTATTAAACCATATTTGTAATTTTTTTACAGTTCAGAAGAGTTGTTAGACAAGACTTGTTTATTTCCAGAGTAACAGACACTGGGAAAAATAATCCAGAAAGCTTTGTTTCAGGAAACCTCAGTTTGAGGGCTTTGTTTCCTGTTACCATTGTCACTGTCTCATTTATTTCTTAGCAATGAATGCTATGAGGGCTAAAGCACATTTCTCCCCTTTTGTTGCAGTTCTTTGTGCTCAGGGCTTGCAGGCTAAGGACAAAACTGGCTCAAGTGACCCATATGTTACTGTGCAAGTTGGCAAAACCAAGCGGAGAACAAAGACTATTTTTGGAAACTTGAATCCAGTATGGGACGAAAAATTCTATTTGTAAGTGTAGAAGATACTGTTGTTTCTTGCTTTTAAAATTTACATTTAGGTAATATAATGTTACCAAGTGAAATCATTACTTAATTTTAAATATTTGTTGTCTATACCATGCATATTCATAGCATTAATAAATTAGCAAGTTCTGAATGAAGAGAGCATAGACATTTATAATGACTTTATCATGTAGTAGTTACACAGCTCATAATTACGTCTTTTAGAGGATCTGTTGGTGGTGTCTATTTGTTCTAATTTTTTAGAGAACTTAAGTAACAGTTTTCAGACTTTAACTTTACATACCAAATGTTGGCATTATTAACGCCTTCCTGTTTATAAGATGCTGACCATGCAACTTAAATGTGGTTTTTTTTCAACATTACAATTCTCCTAGGTGAAATTGGGGAATTTGATAGTAACTAATATGCTTCAGGCTCTGGACTGGGCTGTTCATAGTGTCTGTACTTTCCAAGACAAGAGTGTTGTCCAGGAGTCTGATATGGAGAGTATGGCACGATCCTCCTTTCTCCTGTCTTTGGCCATAGCCTCTGAACTGAATATGGTATGGTTTGTTGTCAGTATATCATGGAAGTTCAACCCAGACTGCAAAGTAGATGTTTCAGTCTGTAATACATTGACTGAGGTTTGAATATGATTTCCTGGCAGTTCTAGTTGTAGCAATGTTCCTAGAACTTCTTTTAGAAAGACATGTTATAGTACAGGAAATTCCAATTCACAAGTACTACACTGTTCCTTTCCTGAAAATATTGCCTTAGGATACAACACGATTCTGACTGAGAATGTGACAAATCTGATAATAGTATCAATTTGCTCAGTGTTATTCCTCTACATGTAGCAAAAGTATTTCAGCATTTATTCTTTTCTCAGCTTGATTACTATGTGCCACACCGTATGTTGTGCACTTAATGACTGTTGTTAAAGTCAATTAAGATTTTTTTAAATTGTTCAGAAAAGTTCCAGTCTACCCTGAAAGCACCTACCACAGTACTATCATACGAAGTTAGTAGGTATTTTATGGAAGCTGTGTGAAAACACTGGTATACTAAACTATGAAAAGAAGAAAAAGGGTATACAATTTCAGTGTTTGTTAAATACAGTAGGCTTATTTGCATTTTTACTGAGAACATATGCAAACTGTTAACACAGTCTAACCTTTTGGTACTATGTTATAAAAGTCTAATATGTTTATGCATAATAGTGCTATTCAAAACTGGATGTTAATTTGATACAGCTTGATGAAATCCTGTATCAATGATGATCAAAAAGATGTGTCATTGAGTCATTTTTATAAGCAACCCTGAATTTACAAAGCAACAGCAGAACAGCTCAGGATCCTGCAGACTGCCCAGTCAAGATTCAGAATCTCTCGTTAGTCACTGTGTGCAACAGTTTCAAAATAACCACTGACTGCAATATAAAATAATTGTCTTCAGGCTTTAAGATTGTGTAGTTCCTTCTTACATTCCTTTTCTTCTATAAGAAAGACATCAGTTGTCATTATTACTGGCTACATAAACCATGGAAACAATTTCTGTTAGGTTTGAAATAGAGTGCTCTTTTCTTTACAAAGGTGCAATGTCATAACATGAGATGTTATGTTCTTGTCACGTAGAACAAGAGCTGTATTCTCTTCCCTGTTTTTTTACTAAAATCTACTACCTTATTGCTGAGGTTATCATTTCACTAGTGAGTCTGAAAGAGATATGACCCAAGGTGCCACTTCTAGCTGGCATTAAACTACATTAAACAGTGTACGCCTATTCCTTTCACAGATTCAAAGGCCAGTACTAGAAATTAATAGTTAATTTGGAGAAAGCAAAGGCTCAGAAACTTCTTACAGGCAGCTTCTATACAGATCATGTTTTCTTTTTGAGTAATTTACGTTACTCCAGTAGCAGCTGGAATGTCATATCTTATTGAATGACTGTGAGTAACCAAAGGCAGGAGATTAATTACTTTCATGCATTTAACTGTATGAATTGTATAGTGTCAAATGTTGAATGAGCAATTCAGCAAATTTGGTATGATGTTTTAAGTGTATTTTCTCTAAGATGTGAGCAGGGCTACCATAAAATCCCTGGAAACTTGAAAAAAAAAATATTTTTTTTTTCATGAAGCACTAAGTATTGCTATCATCTGCTACTCTAGCAATAACATTAATAAAAAACCCCAAAACCTACTATAGCATTAATCTCCTGAGTAACTGCTTTGAACTGAATAAATTTTCAATCATTTTTATAGCTCTTGTACTTTCTAAAATGAAGTTATCTCCCTGTCTTTAGTGCATTGAATTTCAGTGGAAAGTATATGAGAATTTCTAAAGTGTATTAAATAGATTATAAATGTTTAACCACAAGATTAAATCTAAAGTAGATCAATATAACTATTTCATTGACTCAGAAAGATTCAGTTAAATTAGGGTCTACTAGTGATATTTGATAGTCCTATTTAAAATCAAATGCCAACCGTTATTAGAACTCTCGAATGATAAATTGCAGAAATAAAATGTATCTAAAATCTTACAATCGTATATTTACTCATAATACCAAATCATTTGTTTAAATCTCCCCATCTGTTTCAAAATAAGGTCATGGGAAAAACATTGGCCTCCCCACTGTGCATTTGCTCTGTCATAGCAGATAGAGCGAGGACAATGTTCTAGTTTGCAGAATCACACATAACCCTATAATTGTATGGTAAGCAGAGATGGAATGTTTCTAACATAATGTAACCTTCTGCTAAATGACCATGGGATTCTGGCATAGGTTCTAACATGGGAATTCATAAACAATAACTAAAGTAGAGCTTATGTACAGCTGCATGCATCTCGGTAAAAAAACAAGAGTATCAGAGGAAAAAATACATCTTTTCTTGAAATGTATCATTTTTGGTACACAAGATAGAGAAGTAAATACACCAGTAGATGTTCCTTTAATGAATGCAATATAGATAGTAAGGGCTTTGATCCTTTCTATTGGCATTATTAGAAAGGAGATAACAGAGCAGTTGTGGGTTTTTTTTGCAGTAAAACATCAGTGATAGGAGAGTGTTTTAAATGCCAAAGCAAAGGAAGAGTGTTGCAGGTATCTGTCACCTTCCCGCTTCCAGTTAATTGTGGCATCTTTTATGGGAAAAGGCACCACATTTTTATTTTTTAGTTACAGGGAAGAAATATTTTCGCTGTATAGTTTTCAGCTTTGTACAAACTCTTAGATCTAGATACTATAATAAAACTTCTCCACTCTTATTCTTTTCTTGACTATTTTCAACAGTTGATTGCTGAAATATGGCAATCTCCTTTTTTTTTTTTTTTTTTGGCAGTGTTGTGTAGCAAGCACACACCTACATATCATTTTGCAGATTTTGCAGGTGTCGTGTTTCCTCTGACCACTCATTAACGCCTCAGATACACTTATATAATACAGAAGTCTTTCATGTAACTGGATGATTATTTTACATTACTTATTCTATTTTGTCTGTCTCTAGACCACCATATAGATCTGATAAATAGCTTCATTGGATATCTATTACTCCTTTCAGTGCATGAAAGCATTTTATTTAATTGATTTAAATTAGACCAATGAGCAGGGGGTTTTTTGAAGACTATGGTTACCACCTGGCCAATATAATGCTTAACCCTAAACTGTTAGAATTTGTCTGATTTCTGACATTCTTGATGATTTCCTGATGATATATTGAAAATGTCAATGCAGACATAAAATCCCATAGAGAGAAGATTTACTGTTGCTCACGGAAAAAAAAAAAAAAAAAAAAAAGAAAAACCCAAAAAACCCAAAATCCAAACCACATCTGTTTGTTCGAACAAACTAGAATGTTGCTAAGAATTCTTATTGCTATGTGTTTTAGCAGATAATGCTGGGAAAAAATACCCTCTAGCACCAAAAAGCATTAATGTAGATCAGAGACCATGATTGTTAAGCTCTATTTGTTGGTCAGAAAAGTTGTTCAACTGCTCATTTGAGTCTAGAGTTTCTGATGAAGTGAGAATTTCTGTCAGCTATTTCAGACGCCCAGCTGTGTATGTACTTTCCTTAGAATTACCTTAAAAACCAGCACTCACACGGTTTATTTATACTCCAAAGAGGTGATTTGTGGATTCATTTAAATCAATACTTACTGTAAGCAGCCATGTATGGGAAATAAACACAAGAGAACCTTACCAAAGTCCTTTCCTACTGTCATTTTATACATTCTTAATCAACTGAACTAACATGTAAAAAGTATAATCTTCACTGTACTTGAAGACAACAAGATAGGTTAACTGTTTAAATGGTGTTCCAGTTTCCAGTGATATATAAAAACAGTCTTGTAAGAATTGTTGAAACAACTTAAGGATTGTTTCATAAGCGAAATTATGTAACAGAATTATGTTACACAAAACCAATTGGGTAATAGAAACCTGCAAATTAGTTGACTGGATTTATCCATTCTAAAAATTCTTCAATAAGCAGCCAAGTCTCTGAGAGGCATCCTACTAATTCAAATAACTGTAACTCTGAGCCTCAGCCTAAAATGAGAGCAGAGCACTTCTAAGAACCAATTCAAATGATAAATTGTTTGTTCAGCAATATCTTTTTTTCAGTTTCACAGTACAGCATGTTAGGTCTATCTTTTTTCAAACTGTTGTCAATCCAGATTAATTTTATACAACTGTCTTTTTGTTATGACAGCATACACTAATGCAAGAAAAGGTATAATTCTGTTTATTGGAAAGCATGGCCCATGAAAGACAGTCCCAGCTGTTAAAGAGCTGGGACTGTCCAGACTAGAGAGAAGAAAAGTAGTGGAGGTAGGGATGTCTTTAAACACATCTTTTCTCCTGCCAAGAGGAAAGGAATAATTTTCCATGCTCACTGTAACAGTAGAAAAAGAAGCAATAGTCACATATTTCACTTAGAGAGGCTTAAATTGGACTTCAGAAAAATTTTCCAACAGTGGGGCTAGTGAAGTACTGGAATAGATAGTTTTCCAGAGAGACTATGGAGCTTTCTCTGAACACTTTAGAACAGAGTGCACAGACTTCTCATAGCAATGCCATGGAAGTATCTGGTTCGGGCTTGCAGTAATGGCAATAATAATGAACATGAGTGCAATAATAGCAATAAATGGCTTTCTGAACTTCATTCTGCTAATATCTTCCATGACCATGTGGTTTCTTTATATTTTTAGAATAAAATCTTTGTTACCACCTTCCATTCCCCATCTAGGCCATATAACCTCCAAGGTATTTTAGTATAAGGGAATAAAATTGAGTAAGAATTTAGGAAGGTTCAATTCTTGATTTGTTTTATGTGCATTACCTGCTACACAAAATGTATTCCTTATACTTATTTGTAAGGGGGTTTACAAAAAAAAAAAAGTTATTTGCTATGGGGTTTTTTTTTTAATCTGTGCTACATTTTGAACTACTCTTTCACATAGATAGTTCATGCAGCACCTTGATTTATGTTTTACAATTAGGTCAATGTTGACTCAACTAATGAATATAGCACTTAAAAGAATAAAATATCATCTTCCAGTATCTATTCCTTTTGTCTGTGGAAGACATCTAAGGTATATGTAATGGTCTACAACTAAAGTAATATCCATCTGCAATAATTATATTAATAAGTGTTTTCTGTGGTTAGTATCACAAAATGGTATGTATCATGTTTTCTTTGCACACCTTAATGAGTGTATGTCCAAAAAGAATTCAGCTACTTTTTTAACAGGATAAACAGAAATGGAAGCTACCAGAGAAAGAAACTGAAAACAAAATACAGCAAAAAAACCCCAAAGGTTTTTGTTTTGTACCTGAAAATTCAGAGTAGACAAATCTGTTAGTGGATGTAACAGTTTTTTCTGAAGACTACAAGGAAAGAATGCTGTTATGATGAATGTATTTCATTTTGACAGAGTGGGAAATTAACATTCATATACTCTTTACCAGCTTCTTCATTAATTTGCATTTATTTCATTACTGAAAGTAGCGTAGTATCAATTAGTTGTTACTTTAACACTGGATGCAGATCTTTTAGATGAGGTATACAGTCAGGTCATGCCAATGCACCTAATACTAAATTTACATGGGGCTACTATAGTAAAGACAGTTTATTATTACATTTTTTTATTACTCTAGCCATTAGAATAAAGAGGAATGCTGTGAGGATTCTTTAATATCTGTGTGGCATTCTGTACATGCAGAAGTAATGTAGTGTCATCAGATTTTTGATAAATTATTAAAACTCTTCTATCTAGAATCTCTGAATATACTGCAGTTTTTACAGCTTTCAAAAGCATCAGTATCCTCACTCTCTGTGTGCTAAAGAGCAATTCACTTCTCACCTTCCTGTGTCACACTTTAGTGAACACTTTTACTAAGCATATAAAGCAGAGAGATTAGAAGAGGAACACTGAAAATAGCATATGTTGGCTTTGCCTTGAATTCCCTGGGCTGATTTTCCTGTACAGAGTAAGCAGGAATTCCCACCTAATGCTTTTTGCAAAACCATAGAGCTTCTGCACAGATGTTACCAGCGACTAAAACAGAATACGCATCTCATTATATAGTGCTGTTTCTGAGAGGCTGGGCAGGTAAGTAGTACCATGCAGAGACAGCTCTGTAACTGTAGTGGTAAATCTCCCTGCAATCTCACTGCTACAGGGTAGGCCAGTAGAAATACATGTTCCTCCACCCCTCTGTTCATGCATCACAAATGTATTCTAGTTTTGGGGTCTTGCACAGGAACTTTACAAACATGTAGCAGAGCTAAAGTTTTAGACACGAAGATGAACATGTGAGTAAACGCACTGGTTGTGATAGGTCTCACCATATTTCACTGACCTAAGATTAAAGGAGAAAAAGATGAGGGAGAGACAGATGAAGGGTACTGGGGAAAAATGCAGTTATCCTGACCATCTGAATAAATATTCCTCAATCAGCTAAGTGTAAATCAGAGGGAAATTGGTGTTGTCTCAGGAGAATAAAAATATAGTACTAGTACTGAAGTATCATTTAATGACTTTTTATATGCATCATCTCCCTGAGAAGCAAAGCAGGAAGATTTCTACTAATGTCACATATAAAGTGATGAAGGTCACATAAATGCCTCACCATTGATGGATCTCCCCATGCCACTGTAGAAATCCTGTTTAATAGTTCTATTAGGTGCACAGCTAAATGCAGTTCAGGACTCTAACAATGTTAAGCAATAATTCAGACCACTTTTTAGGAAAATTAAATGGCCTTCTTTCTTAAGGCAAAGATGTTTGTTTGATCCATCTGTGTCTTCTTATAAATATATGTCCGTGCCAATAGCTTCTGAATTTTGAGGTCAGTCAGAGAAATTTCACAGATTGTCTAATACTACATGTGTCTTTAGTGTGAGTTCACCCCAGAACAGACACCAGGGAGTCCATATGAAGGGATAATTCATGAAAATCCCAAATATGGGAGAAGATGCAATAGGTGATTGCAGTTTGTTAGATGTCAGAGAAGCCAGTCATAAGACAAAAGGAAACTAGGCTTCATTAGTTTTGCTAATCACAGAACAATGTGGTTTTTAATTACCAGAGATATCTGCAATGTTAAAATTTAGAATACAGACAGACACAAGCATTTCTGTGATACTGAATGATGTCACAGTGAGACAGAGTAAAAGCTGTGCATGCCATTTTAAGTGACTGATCGGTCTTGACAGTAATAGTACCATTCAAAGCATTTTATACTTGCAAAGCCCATTACCACCACTAATTAATTCTTAGAACATCCCTGAGGGGTGCCAGTTGGAAGATAAGTTATAGTATTACTGTTTTCATGCTGGAAATGCTGAGACAGATCACTGAGCAGTGATAGTGCTTGGAATAGAATTTAAGAACTCTAGTGTAAAACTAAGACCTTGCTGAAGATGAAAATTTGCTGCTACACTTTAAAGCTATATTTAAAGATAACCAAAGATTCATAACATTTAAAATATTTTTCTAGCATTACTGAATGGATATTAAAATTATTTGTATAGATGCATGACTATGATGTGGCTTACAACTGATGCCAGGCAGGTACTAGCTGTTAAATATCATCAGAAATTTTTTCACTACCACAGACTTCTGCGGTCAATTTTAGGATATTCCAATGAAGTCATCAAAAGCCAGCAGTGACCAGTAGTAAATAGTCCTTATTGAGGCTTATAGGAATAAGGAGCAGTAGAGCTTCTTTTTCATTTCTGTGCAAATATATGCAGGATGGAGCTGGGAGTAAAAAATTTTATCCACTAGGAACTCTGCAAGTGAAGCCACCTCAGTCTCTCATACATCTAGTAGTTTCTAAAATCCACTGAACTTATGAGCAGTTAGTAAGCCACTTAAATTTGCAAGGAATTTTTTAGTATATGGCAGTCTGTCCCTACCCTTTCTTGTTAACAGAGAATGGAGGTCTTGGAGCAAAGCAATATATCTTTTAAAGAAAGCAGCCACCTGTTTCCATAGGATTTTCTGATTGCCTGTCTTGTCTTGTGGTGAAGTTTATGCATACTTTTTGTGGCTTTTTTTCAAAAACTTCCTGCCATGTACTGGAAATACTCTTTAAAATTTTCTTTCTTTGTATATTATAACATTTGAGACTACTACTTTGCTGGTCTACTGTGTGTACTATGTAGCATTCTTAAATGAATAACCTGATCTAACTGTATCTTTCCTAAGATATTTGTAAAAAAATAGTATCGAGAAGTATAGATTGTAAATTAATTAATAATTCTAATGAATTCATTATATTCCTAAATACAATCCATATTTTTATATAATTCAGTCAAGTTAATCTCTCTGCTTTCTCTTATATGTAGTAATTGTAATTTTGTCCCTAGCAATGTGGGATGGCCTTTTATTCCACTGAACGTTGCAGGTTGGCTGCATTCGGTCACTTTATGCAGTTAAGCAAGTGTACAAAAATTGAGGACAATGAATTAGACAGCAGTACAAAGGTTTGTAGCTTATGTATCGCTCACAGTTTATATTTTATTTTTATTCTTACAGTGAATGCCATAACTCTACAGATAGGATAAAAGTGAGAGTGTGGGATGAAGATGATGACATCAAATCAAGAGTAAAACAACATTTCAAAAAGGAATCAGATGACTTCCTTGGGCAAACAATCATTGAAGTAAGAACACTGAGTGGAGAAATGGATGTATGGTATAATTTAGGTATGGTTCTTACTGATTTTTTAAAAACAAATTTAGGTAAAATCTCAGCATCTGTAGATTTGTGACTTCAAAATGGTACCAATATAAAACTTTTTAAATCTTAAATATTACCGGTTGATTTGAAAATGAAAGATACTTTATTGGTTTTGGTCCAGAGTTATGACTTCTACAGAGAGCAGACTAATCACAACAATATCAAAGAAAAATATTTCATTTTAATACAAAATTAAAAACATGTAACATTTCAGATGAGCACTTTCACAGTAGCATTCTGTGGGAAATGCATCTACAAAAATACATTAAAAAAATCTAGCAAATATTTTGCTTGTGGTCCACATTCATTTTATCACATATTTAAAAAAATAATTTATGTACCATTCTGGGTCTAATTAACTTTGGTTTTCACTGTGTTTACACCTTTGTTTCTTCATGAAACTTGCTTGCTTGAGTCTTCTGTTCTGCATGTCAAATGTGTTTATGTGCAGAGTCATAAACTGAAGACAGCCTGCTGAAGCTCAAAATGCTCTCTGTTGTCTGTAATGACTGCACTTTCTTGTCTGGACAGGTCTTAAGATGTATCATTCTTTAAACCAGAAATAAATCAATGAAAGTGTGTCTCAGAATGTGTTTTCTTTGTCTAAGCATACAACTGTTCTTTAATTTTAAAAATCTCTTTGCGTGCACTAGATGTTCTGAGGGTAGCCTTTAAAGGTTGATCTCCTATATTCAATAATAAAAATGTGATAGTAACATTTTTATCTAGGTTGCCTAGATAACTTCGAGTGAATTATGTAACATAGTTTTCTGTAGAGCATTTGTTTGCTAATTAGCAGTCCTTGTTTCCCTGTCTAGTGTTTCATTTCCCAGTGATATATAAAGATGTCTCAGGGAACTATTTGATTTCTTATTGACAATGAAAAGAAGCCTTACTTTGTTTCCTGTTTATAATGAGTTTTTTTAAAGGTAAGATAATTGGGTCATTATGAATTATGAATTTTATTCCTTCAAAAATTTCAGTGACTTAAACTGACATAAATATTGATATAAATTATTATGAAAGGAATTTTTAAAACAAATTTTGCTGAACTCATTGAACTGGCGGCAGTTCAATAATAACATTGAAAATCTATGTGCTGTGCAATAAGAATCTGCTAAGAACATTTTGAGTTTCTCTCGGATATAGTAGTTCAAGTTGTTGTTGAAGTCGTCTTAACCAAAGGAAAATATCAATAATTAAAATAATAAGAATTGGTACAGATACTAGATATAAAATGGAAAGAATTTCTATTGGAAAGGGAAAAGTGTTAGATAAAGCACTGTGCAGCCTGGTTTGAATTTGGCAGATAAAATAAGAAAGATTATTTACTTCATAGTTTGATATTCTACTTCATGGCCTGAACCATATGTGAGGTATTAAAAAAAAATTCTCTTGTTCTCAACAGCAGGATTTTCTGGCTTTAAAAAAACATTCTTAGTAAGCTAGAAAGATTTATGAAAGCTTTTCACATTACATATATGCATTTTTGGTAGTTACTAATATATTATTTTTCTGCTCTTCAGAAAAGCGAACGGATAAATCAGCTGTCTCTGGTGCCATTAGATTGAAAATCAATGTTGAAATCAAAGGAGAGGAGAAAGTTGCTCCCTACCATGTGCAGTACACCTGTCTACACGAGGTATGTTGAAGAAGTTAAAGAAAGCATACTCATGAGGATACAACCATTTCTCTGTACTGCAGAAAAATAGCTGTAATTGTAAAGAACTTCTTCCTTGCTATATTAATTCATATTTTGGAGAGAGCAAGAAAAGACAGGAAAAGCACAAACAATATAAAATTTGGTTCTCCTTTCATCTAGATTGTTTTTGTCAACGTTGAAAAAAAAGTCATCACTGGTAAATGAGTGTCTTTCAAAATATTTTCTTTGTATTTGATTTGTCTTCCCTCAACCAATGATCCACACTGAAGTTCTATTCTGAAAATACAAGTACTTTCTGAAAGCTGATAGATAGCATACGGCTGGAAGTTCAGCACTAGGATGTATCCACAAAATCCTGTTGTTCACCATTTGTAAAATTGAATGTTCAGGCATTTGTGCTCCTAGATTTTGATCTGATATTGCAAATGTTTTGACCTGTGAAGTAAATGGCAAAATTCTGTTCCTTTAATATAATCCGCAAGAGAGTTATGGGCTAATTAGCAAAACTGAAATTATTTCAAAGTTTTGCGGGTTTTTTCAGTCACTAAAAATAGGAAGTCAAATCTGATGCTCAGTTAGTGGATATGTATGGAGCATGAGAAGCGTTCTATGACGTTAATATCAAATACTAGCTTTGGTCCTAAGGTTGCTAAATCTAAACTATAGTGCATGCCTTGAGAGGCTTCTACAATATTTCTGATAGATTTCCTGTAACTTACAGTTCTTAATTAATTTGAAATTTATTGGTCATAGATCCAATTAAAGTTGAAGTACTATGTAGTCAGTGTTACAAAATCACTATTTCATTCTCTAGTAAAGGCATATGATAGAGAAAAGAAAGTTTGCATGATTTTATGTTGCAGTCTCCCTGTACCAGTTAACTGACAGATCTTATATCATGGAAGTGGATCAATGCGCTGAATCACAAGCCTGCATGACCACAGTTCTATTACAAAAAATGTCCTTGGAGTCTTAGAATATTTTGCTTACCAAATGATGACTAGTTAGTGCCAGTCTTCAGAAAAGTTTTGGTTTTTTTTAAATTAACATATTGATGAGTGTTATATGGGATATACTTTCAGAATGCCACTTAAAAGCCAAAAATACCTGTTTGAAACATTTCTTATGTTTAGAATCTATTCCATTACTTGACGGAAGTTAAATCCAATGGTGTTGTAAAAATCCCTGAAGTGAAAGGTGATGAAGCCTGGAAGGTGTACTTTGATGACGCTGCACAAGAAATTGTAGATGAATTTGCAATGCGCTATGGAATTGAATATATTTATCAAGCTATGACGTAAGTATTATGATGTCTGGTTTTCTACTCTACTGTGAAGAAAGTGTTTGAGGGAAGTTACAAGTTCCAAGTCTTCGTGCTTTCATTCTCCATTTTCTTCCCATTCCTGATTTAAAATTCTTGTTATAATTCTTGTCCATCTGATTCTCATTGACATGCTTCTCATTTGCAATGGAATTAAGAGATAAGTATTTTATAAACTGTTACTGGTATTACTGCTAACACATTTGTTAATCCTTGTGATACTGATATGCGGCAAGGATAGGAAAGACTTCCAGTGTTCCAGATGGTAGAACAGGGTTTCACAAGCTCTGTACTCCTTTCCAGGAGTATAGAAATCATCACAGAACACAAGCAAATGGCTATAGTAAATTTCCATAGCACATGTAAATAATTAATACAAACCATTTTTAACAGTATTAGAACCTATCCCTATATTGTCTGCACTAAAGTAGCTGTCTGATGACTTTAGAACACAGTACCACTGAGCTTAGAGGCCTGGGGATACAAGAGCTCCATCATGTGTTCTTAATTTGTCCAGTGAAAAGGACAATATTCTTCCCCTAATGCAGGAAAGCAGAGGACTCCAAATGAGTTCCTAAAGAAGAATATAGAAAAATTTTCCTATAGAAAGCTGATATTATGGAATTTTCAATCAGAATGTGTATCTAGTTTCCTCCATGTCCTGGGTTTTGCTAGGATAGGGTTAAT